CAGGTACTACTCTTTCAAGTGCGGAAATCCATAACGGCTATGGAACAATAATGTAAACCTGTAAAGTCCCACCCTTGCCACTATACTCACTGAACATCCACTGATGTTTCCATTGGATATTTATTGTTCCCCTTATAGGTGCTATGGATTTTATTTCCCCTACCTATAGTGATTTCCCACCAGTATTTATTACATTTCCAATACTTATATCCCTTGAAGTTTTCAAAAATATTCCAACCTATTTCCTGATATATTAATCACTTAACTTCCCTGTATACCTTTTCAATTGTTAAATGACAATCATATGTTCAAAATATTAAATAATTTCGTATTTTATCATCATAAATTTGCATATTCAATTCTAAAATATTTCGTTTACATTTTGTAGCTAATACATTTTCATATTTAATTCTAAATTATTTCGTCTCGTCACCTATGTCTTTGTCCAGTATTCGTCACATTGACATGATATTCACAATGATATACATAATACATACAATATGCATATAAATCATGTGTCGATCAACAATTACAAACCAAATATTCAAACATACATACTGAAACAGACATATTCTATAATCTCGACATTACATCAGGCAGGTGATTGTGGATGCCTTTGATGTGTTGAATATTAAATTTAAACTGTGCAATCAATAGAGCCCATCTGTACACTCTAGCGTTGTTTGTTGACTCCATGGTCATCAATTTAGTAAGACCTAAATTGTCAGTTAAGATAGTGAATTCTTTACCTAACAAATATTCCTGAAATTTCTTTAAGCTCAGAACTAATGCTTCTTTCTCAAATGTTCTGTACTTCTGCTGTGTGGATGTTAATTTCTGTGACCAATATAAAACTTGAAACGAATATCTGCATGTGTAAAAGATTCATTTAGATCTGCAATAGTTTGATGATTGGCATCACATATTTTAAAATATTGTTTCAAAATGTTCACATGATTTATTTTCCAACATAGATGTTGCTCAATTCTGCAGTTCATCAGTAATAAGTACTTTTGTACTAGATATATGCTGCAAGGTGGTATTCACATTCACCAACAGTCAAACAAGTCATCTGATTAAAATTCATGGCAAATTAAAACTGCTTTCAAAAACTCAAAGTTTCAGAATGAGGAAAGTGTTTGAAATAGACCTGATCTAAAAGTAATAGTTTCCAGAAGCACTAATGCTAATAGTGTACCACATTTCAGAATTTGACAAATTTCTATGGATATATATAATTTCGAGATGAAAAAACCTCTGTGAACAGGATAGATAATTCCTAAAAGAAATGCTGATATCCTAGCACATCTAAACATCAATGAAGATTAGCAAGAAAACAACATCTTGTCTAGCAAACTGAAATATTTTTTTTTTTTGGGGGGGGGGGGGGGGGGGGGGTGGAGTAGTAAGTATTTCTTTGGCTTCCATGAAGAATGGCCCAAAAAAATTTTTTTTTTCTGAAATAATATGAACTGTGTAAACAAATGCCTTTGAAGAGATGTGTTTACATAGTTAAAGGCATATCTAAGTTTCTTTACACAGTTACTGAGACCATTCAAATTGGGAAGGGGGGTCCTCGAGTGGCATTTGTCCTAGGTTGTGACCTCTTTGCTAAGAAGTAATTGAAAGTTTAAAAACAGATGACTATGTACTATGTGAGGATGTTGCTATGTTTGTTGAGAAAGGCTGGTCGAAACTTTCGACAGTATTCGGTTGTGGGTGTCTTTTTTTCTGTAGATTTGTCTAGCTGCAGTCCTTGTTTTTTGTTTGTTTAGTTAACACAAGTTACGCACTGGCACTGCTGTCCTTGGCGGGCTGAGAGATATAGATATGTGTACATTTTGATTATTTGATTAGACTAAAGTCTTTTTTTTTAAGGACTAAGACGCTCGTTGACGACACAGATGGTCAAACGGAACAGCGTAGAAGTAGCCTGGTTAGAAGTGGTCCTTGTTAGGGCTAACACCCACACCACACAGCTCACCCCCACACCACACAGCTCACCCCCACACCACACAGCTAACCCCCACACCACACAGCTCACCCCCACACCACACAGCTCACCCCCACACCACACAGCTCACCCCCACACCACACAGCTCACCCCCACACTACACAGCCCACCCCCACACCACAAAGCTCACGCCCACACTACACAGCCCACCCACCCCCACACCACACAGCTCACCCCCACACCACACAGCTCACCCCCACACCAGACAGCCCACCCCCACACCACACAGCTCACGCCCACACTACACAGCTCACGCTCACACTACACAGCTCTCACCCCCACACCACACAGCTCACCCCCACACCACACAGCTCACACCCACACCACACAGCCCACCCCCCACACCACACAGCTCACGCCCACACTACACAGCCACACCCCCACACCACACAGCTCACGCCCACACTACACAGCCCAACCCCACACCACACAGCTCACGCCCACACCACACAGCTCACCCCCACACCACACAGCTCACGCCCACACTACACAGCTCACCCCCACACCACACACCACACAGCTCACGCCTACACCACACAGCTCACCCCCACACCACACAGCTCACGCCCACACTATACAGCCCACCCCCACACCACACAGCTCACGCCTACACCACACAGCTCACCCCCCTGCCCACCGCAGAACTCCCCCTGCTCTTTCGACACCCCCCCCCCCCCCCCCTTTTCCTTCCTCTCCCCACACCCGCAAAAAAGACAAGAAAACACTAGTTTAATGTTCTGCTAGCTTCTTCTTCTTCTTCTTCTTCTTCTTCTTCTTCTTCTTCTTCTTCTTCTTCTTCTTCTTCTTCTTCTTCTTCTTCTTCTTCTTCTTCTTCTTCTTTTTCTTCTTCTTCTGCTAGCGTATTCGCGTGAATCTGTACTTCTCCCCATCGATTGGAAAACGGCTTTTGCCGCCCCCCTTCACCTCCATTCTTCGTGTGAATGTTTTTACGTCGGACTCGATACTACTTTGTCAAACAATAACCCTTTACCTTTGCATATAAGGTGAATGAAATAGCAAGTATGATTAAAATCAAAGAGACACATTGCAACCACAATAGCCGTCGGTTATAAACAGTTCTTGACAGATATATACATACGAAACACATACATCAATGGCAGATTGTCAATATAGCGATGCAATGAGATGCAGGAGAGATGATCTTCCTGTGACAGGTATTACCTGGAGTGTTTTGGCAGGTGTCATCCCCTGAGCACTGGTTTCATTAATGTAGATAACTTGTCGTCCGTGATTTTACCAGGGACAGTGAGGGAAGCATACGATTGTAATCCTGAAATCAACCATGCATGTCGTAAGAGGGGACTGAAGTAGGTTTATGTGGCGCTTGTTACCTAATCGTATAGTTTTAGTTGCACAATTCAACCATTCGTGAATATGTTTACCAAGAATTTGTTGTGAGTTTGTTGATGTCTGTCGTCTAATGTGAGACAGAAGAGGGGCTGGAAAGGCAGAGAAGATAAAGAGATAGGGCGAGGGATAGAGAGAAAGAGACATAGTAAGTGAGGAAGAGAGTTAAAGAGTTAGGGGATAGAGAGGAGGGCACAGCGAGAGGGACACACACAAACACAGACCAAGAGAGAGAGAGAGAGAGAGAGAGAGAGAGAGAGAGAGAGAGAGAGAGAGAGAGAGAGAGCAAGAAAGGCGAGAGTCTGTGTGTGTGAGAAATATAGAGAGTACCTGAATCAGAAACACTTTTTGTATGGTATTAGAGAAACTTGCCTCTGCCTTTCTGATTCATAAAATTGCTTTCTCCTCCTGTCTGTCCTCCCTGTCTGTCACCTCTGTCTCATCTCCTCCCTGTCTCTTCTTCTACCTGTCTGACATCCCTGTCTGTCGCCTCTGTCTCCTTTTACCCCTTTCTTATCTCATCTTTGTCTATCATGTATCTCATCCTAACCTATATCTCAACCCCACAGTCTATATATCTGTCCCTCTACCCACATACCTATATTCTATTTTCTTGCCTGTCTGTCGCCCTGAGTGGTTATAATTTACGTTCCAAAAAGATTTAATTTAATTTGTTCGTCAAATATTTATAAGTAGTTTTAAAGTGAAACATTTTATCATCCCCATTACTTTCACCTGCGGGCTCCATAATTTGAATTAATTACTTTAAACGCGAATTCTAATTTCCGTTTATACAGAGTCAATATGTCTGTTTATTTTTCCATGTTGCAGATAATTCGGAATATTTCTGCCAATTTACATCACATGGAGTGATCATTCAGCTGGCTTTTACAGTCATCCCAAGGGACCGCGGGAGAAGGATGAAGTTTTCTTTGGCAAGTGTAAGCAGTTTATGTGGGTGAACATGAACTCGTTGTTGAAAGCATCCGCAGTTAACAGCAAAGCATCAAACAACCGTGACGGAATGTTATCAGTTTAAACAGTGCGTTCTGGTTTTTTCCAACTTAAAGTACATTCTGGCCTGAAGTTGTTTTAAACTGCCAGTTCGTATTTGAATTTGGCTTAAATGAATTACATCTATTAGTCTTTTTGGATTCTACAGAAAGAAAGAAAGTTCTCTTGTCTAACGGACAATTTCAGATTCGTTTTCCCCCTTCTTTTGAAGATGCTTTTTTGTTTTTTAAAAGAAGTTGAGAAAATGAACGATATCTAGTGTTAGATCTGTCGTTGTATTATTTCCCTAATTTGTGGTTATTAGTTTAGAAGTGAACCTAATACACAAATTGCAACTTTCTCGAACGTTGAAAACGGTTAAAAGATGTTACTGTGACATTAATGTTATCACTGGTTAGAGGATTGAAATTCAGGAATTACCTCGATATTGATGGGGAAAAAACTATTTTAAGAGAGAACACTTTATTGTCTTCATTAGATTGCCAACGACGAGTGAACCGTACGATTTGGTGCAGGTTTGTAGGCTGCTGATTTTGAGCGTGTATTTAAGTTTATTTAGAAATCAACCTTTAGCAGTAAGGAAAACCTGTTAGTGACACATAAA